GGGCGATCTACGACTAGTTGCCATCTAGATTACTAGTTGGAAAAGGGACTTTTAACTAGATGCGTCTGCAGGTGCATCTAGTAATACTTAAATCGATCGATTATCGGGCGATAAATCGATAGTTGCACCTAGAAAAAACCTAGTAATCGCCCGATTACTCGATTTCCATTGTCGTTACACAGTAGTTGCAATCGAGTAAAAATCTAGTAATCTAGCTGAATTGGGCGATACTAGATTTTTTTTGACGCTTGGGTTGTTCTTACAAAAATGATCATCGTCTCCAAGTGATCGTCTGACCTGTCATTTCGTACCATAATTATTCCATATTACAACTTGTCCTAACATTTGTCCGTTGAACGTTTCCCTGCGATGGGAAAGCGTACGGAGTTGTATGTCTCATTTTGAAGACATAACTCTCCTCTGCAAAGTATATGTTTCAAGAAAACGTTAAACTTGTGAGCTGAATTGATGGCGTCATGTTTATTTTCTCTATGAAAAATTATGTCCTCATGTCTGAACACAATATTTGTGAGAAGAAGGTCGAAAAAAAATGAAACGGAATGTTTTTTTCAAACAAATTTTTATGCTGTTTTACAGGCCGTTAGCAGACTTGTCCTATCACATGAAAATCAGTAATAGACCTTTATCGTCAAGAATGAAGCTTCTGGAGAAGAACTCCGTCAGAAACCTTGGTTCACTCTCAGTTCGTCCCATCAACACTTCTCTCTCAATTCTTCCCATATTAGTTTACACTTAATCAGTTTTAATATAATTGTCCGTACCTCTTGTGTACGGTGATAAATATAACTGTTGTGGGTGTATAAACAGTTATATTGGACAAACAGTGAGTCTCGCTGTTTGTGAGTGTGAGGGTGAGAGCTGAAAAGCGAAAACAAGAGCATAAAGATAGGATGATACTTTATTGTTACCTTACTTGTAACTAGTAACGAACTTAATCACTTCATTACTAGTACGAGTAACTCATGTCGTTACTAATAACTAAGTAACTAACTTCGTTACTTTACCTGGTAAAGTAACGCCTTGTAAGTAGTAAAGTGCCACCCTTACATAAAGATACTCTTCGAGGTATTGGATTTTCAAGGTTTCTACGACTAAATAATGGATCAAGTTATATATTTGTGTTCTTTACATGTGTTTCTTTTTCTATCTCTTCTGTACTTGAAAGGAGAGGAAAAGTTTTGTGAATATATTTTTGAAATAGGTTGTGTTTCCTCTCTTGCCCGTTTTTTCATATTATCAACAGCAATATCAACAAGGACTTATCTGACAAGGCGGTATCTGATTTGCATGTGTGTGCTGATTCATTCCGTAAAATTCTCACATCGCCGATAGATTCTCTCATTTGATATTCTTTTTTTTCATTCCTTTCATCTAACATATTTTTCTGTTTTATCATGACAAGCTTTTTTATTCATGGTTCATATTCGAAACAGTTAGAGATATATCTGTATTTGCAAATATTATCTCTACAAACAAGCATGTGTTCATTCGCTTTATATTTGTACTTTTTTCTATTCAATCAACCAATCTGAAAAAGTATTATGATTAATTAATTATGATGAAGTATCTCAAGGTGATCTATTGCCTTAGGATTACCCTACGATTTATCAAGTTTCCTTAGAAATTCAATAATGATGACATGAATAATAATTACCTGACCATGTTGACTTTGAAGATTGTTGTTGTTGTTGTTGTTGTTTTTGATTATTATTATCTTCAAAGCGTGTGTGTCGAGCATAAACAATAATACCAAAATATTGTTTTCCTTCAATTGTCAGTATTACAACATCATATGGAGAAAATAAACGATTTTGTGGATTATAATCATCTGTATAGTCAGGTAAATATTCACCAAATAATACGCGTTGATTTTTGTCAATTGCATTAAATTCAACAGATAGTTGGTGTTGACTAAGATCATTACTCATTTCATTGTTCGCATCTACAAAATTGTGCCATAATTCATGATAATATAATGGTAGAAACACATCTTCATATCTGCTTAATGCACTACTATAATCAAAATCCAATTCGGCGTCGGTCATTATATCATTCGCCAAATCTAAATAATAAAAATTTGATTCGTTTAATTCAACTCTACTTTATATCTACTCTTTTGTGTGAATAGATACTAATTTGATCAAAAGCTTTTCGAGAAACATGTTGATATTAATTCTCCTCCTTTTAATCATCAAATTTCTGGCCTATGTTTTCTAGCAAAAAATTTTATTTTCGGGTTCTAAGCACACAGGAAAACACTTATAGTCATGTTGTGGCCGACGTGACTCATCATTGTGCTTGCTAGTGTACACAGTAGCGATCAGAGAATTTCATTAACTCTCGATGAGCTAAGATTGTTGTAAATACAATCTGCAGATAATTCCGTTATTTTTCTTATTCCAGTATCTCAAAAAAATCATTCTGACATTTTCCGTTCACGCAAAGACATGGAGTACTTTCTTCACACTTTCTTCATAATTCTTCACACTTCCATCATGACTAGGATAAAAAAATGGAAGGTTTGCCATTTTTTCTTTGTCTTTCTTATATTCTTCACGCCATTGCGCATGTATGTCTTCATATCTTACGTCACCGGTCATTTTTAACGAAAAACTCTGAGTTTTGATGCTTTCATTATTTTAAGTTAAACTTCTCAAGTTATAAAACCCTTACAATAAGAATACGAGCTCACCAAACCCATGATAACACGAATTGCAAGAAGTCAACCAATAGCTGCTGACTAGCAAGTAAATCTCTTAAGGATCACACACAGCATCGACTATTAGACGAAACTGGCTTCAAAAAGAAGGGGTGTAAGAAGAGAAATTTTTTCTCTATTGAATCAATATCAGTTAGAAAGAACGGCATTGGTTCTGAAACTAGGCTGCTTTGATTGTATATCACAGGAAAAGTGGCTGTTTTGAGCTTAAACTGTCGGAGAAATAAAATAGCTTAGTATCCGTAGACCTATGACCAACGGAATGGATTTCGTTTTTATTCGTTCGCATTAAAGAAAGAAAATGCTTTTGTAATGACTTTTGTACTTACTAACCTGCAAATTTTAATGGTACTTCTATTAGTTCTTTTTGTTTTTGATTAAATAACATTGAATTAATTGTTTTTGGTGGGTGTTCAACATTTAAACCTTTTGGAAGCCAATATGTTACTATAAGATCGCATAGATCCCGGACAGCCGTTATAACATTATCTGTCCATGATAAATCCGCATCTACGAACTCTATATCACTTTCCTGATGATTGATATCATAACGTTTTTGCGGATTTTGAATAAGTTTTTGTTCAGGTATTTGAATTTTTTTATTAAATAAATGAAGTGCTGATGATGCTGCACTAACCTGTTCAAATAATAAAATATTACGAGCTTGTCTATAATAGCGTCCATTGGGTAGATTGTATTTTTCTTTCAACCAGCTCCTACATTCCATCGATGCCATATCTGATTCTTAATGTTCCTTTGAATATGTCGTAAAAGTATAGCAGAGTACTGTAGTAAGTAAGTATACAATGCAAGTAAAATTTCTTTTACTTTTATATCACGGATAATTATAATGGAAATTTCCATTTATAACAAAGGAAAATTCCGATTACCTCATCTATACATTCAACTTTTCTTAATGAGAAAATGGCGAAGAAAAAGCGTTAAAACGTCTTTGTCTCTCTCTCTACTCAGCAAGGAGAAGAAAATGACTCAAATTTCATCATTGCTTTCATGTGCACACGATTGTTGTCAGCGAATGAAAAATATACAAGAAGGACAAATCTTTTTTGCTTGTCCTGACAACAAACAAAGGCTGTAAAATAATATTGAAAAAAATCCACTCAAACACATCTTTAAGGTGATCAAACGAAGATTTATCCGATTCTTTTGATCTGATTCTTTCAAATATAAAAAAGAAATATAACCAAATATTACTTTTAAGTAAAGTTATATTATAATCATAAATAATAAATAATAATAATAATAAATTATATTATAAGTAAAATGACTCAGGTGAGTCAGGATACAGTCATATTGAAAAAAACCATGCAGTATCGTATTATACGAACGTGTATATCCTTAAAAACTGGGCATTATTATATCAAGGCATTATTATTGACAGTCAGTTGATGTTGGTTAGTCTACCCGAAGATAAACGGGTTAGAGTTTTGGTCGTTTACACTTACTTAAACAAGAAACGTTGTACTAAACGAGAATTTTTGAGTATCATTGGCTATCTTGGACATGCCTCACGGGTTATTCCAGCAGGTAGAAGTTTCGTATTATATCTGATTGCTTTATCATGCACAGTTGATTCGTTACATTATTCCGTATCACTTTCAAAAGCGTACCGCCTTGTTCTCTTAATGTGGTTTTATCTCTTGCGACCTTGGAATGGTGTGTCTACCTTTTATGATCCAAAAATTGTTAATTCCTGTGAGACAGAATGATACAGCGACATTACCGCGAACGACGTTACCGCGAACGACATTACCGCGAACGACATTACCGCGAATACAAAAAACGACATTACCACGAATACAGAGAACGACATTACCGCGAAGACTTGTTTGTTGGAAAAGCCGAATAAATGACGCCGGTTTTGTATTTTGTATATCATGTTTTCAAACTTAACTGACGTTATGTGGTGACTAGTCATTATCTGATACAGCCACAGATATCTAGTTTCCCATTACGATAATATGTTTTATGTGAAAATACTTTTCGAACTCACTCTCACAATGCCCTCTCCCCACCTCCCACCTCCCTCCACATGATATACAAAGTACAAAACCAGGCTCATTTATTCTTCTTTTCCAATAAACGAGTCTTCGCGGTAACGTCGTTCACTGTAATGTCGTTTTTTGTATTCGCGATAATGTTGTTCGCGGTAATGTCGCTCGCGGTATTGTCTCGCGGTAATGTCGTGTCACGAGATAGAATCATTCACGGACACAGCTCCTTCAATCGGCTTTGGCGGCTATTGGAAGGACGAATACTTTGCCTCCATGGCCGAATTTTGTTCCTAAAGGCATGTCCACTCCCTACTATGAACTGTTGCCTTTAGTAGTCGCTGCTTCTTTATGGGGTAAAATGTGGCGAGGAAGGAAGATTATGTTTCGTTCGGATAATGAAACTGTCGTAGCAGTCATACAAAATGGCAGATGTAAAGATAGAACCATCATGTCACTAATGAGACGTTTTACTCTTTATGCATGTGAATATCATTTTGTACCCTACGCACAACATATACCAGGAGTTGAATATGAAGCTGCTGACTGTTTATCTCGTTTGAAGTTAGGAAAATTTCGAATGTTAAAACCAGATGCTCGAGCATGTTCTCTTCCAATACCACCACCACAAAACATTTTCTTTCCGTACCAGACGTACTTAATCACCTATTACATAATGCATATGCTCAAAATACTATTATGTCATACGAATCAGGATTTCATCAGTTTTTGAATTTTGTGACTATGTTCAGAAAACCTATGGTTTCAAATATGCCTGTTTTGTGTGAGCAGTTGTTATATGAATTCCTTGCCTTTTGCTATGGTTTTCTGCATCTTAAATCTTGTACCATCAAAATGTAAATAGCTGCTATCAAATACACCTATGTCAAAAATGGACGTCAATTCTAGTGTTCGGTTGTCAACGTGAAGGCGCCAAAATGTATTTATTAATGAGAGCGATTAAACGACTTGAAAGTACCACTACATGTCCACCACTTCCAATAATCTTTCCAGTTTTAAAACGTTTAATTCATCTATTATCTACCGGAATGTTTACTCCTTATTGGGATTTTTACTGTTGCAAACAGCTATGATTTTAGCCTTTTTTGCCTTTTTGCACTGCTCTGAATTTTGTACGAATACCAATAGCTTTGATCCGGTAACCAACCTTTCGTTAGAAGATATTACATGTAGTTCTTGTCAGACTCGAGCATATTTGCGTTTAAAAAGTTCTAAAACCGACCCATTCTGCAAAGGGGTTATAATCGCCTTGTTCGAAACTGGCAACCCTATTTGCCTTGTATCCTTTTTAAGGCGATTTTTAACAGTTTTCAAATTCTCTTTCTCTAATTCTACTGAATCATTTTTTCTTACACCTCAAACAATTCCACTAACCCGCTCAGTGTTTATCGAGAAAACACGTCAACTTCTAGTTAGGTTAGGTTTCAATTCGCCTTTGTATAGTGGCCATTCTTTTCGTCGGGGTGCCGCTTCTACCGCAGCGGTGGCTGGTATTCCTCAACATGTGATACAGACACTTGGCAGATGGCTCACTGCATCCTCATTCAGATTGTACGTCGATTTGCCAATTAGCACTATTCAAACAGCGCAGATAGCTCTCACGCAATAAACGCATCTTATTGGGTCTGATGCCCCGCATCCCTCCAATAAGAACTCTAATCAATGTATGACATTATGTTTGTGTTTGTATCAAAGATATCAAAAAGAGATATCTCTGAGGCAGTTCTGTATATATTTATCAAAAGTTATGGAAATTTTACTAGAAGAGATGGAGTATTTATCGAACAACTGCGCAACCTTTGGTCAGAAGCAACTTTTCTAGTCAATGGTTGTCACCGAGAAGTCTGTACAGCGCAAAATCGATCATTTTACGACGTTATGGACGATATACAGACAGCCTCAGCAGTTATATCATAGCTACTATATATCATAGCAGTGGTTATGTCATAGACCAACGTTTCTTATAAGTGTTGTCCACAAAACTTTTGGACAAACGAAGAGGGTTTTACAGTGGCGCTCGAAGATCAAGTTAGAAAATGTGCTAGACTGGTAAAAGTGCAACGCAAAACCTCTTTGAGTGTTCACAGTTGAGCTCTGAGTACAACAGTTTGCAAGTGAACAATTTAAAAATAATTTTCTCTTGAAACTTGTTCCACAAAGATTGCTTTTTATAAAGAATTGTTTGATCTTTTCACTGAAGCTTTCAACAAATCCCAACGTATCTTCAATCCCTTTTCTTCTCTCCTATACTTTTCTCAAAAGAGAGTTACCCTTTTCCCACTTATATGTGTCAAGGGTATGAAATTTTCAGCATATTAAAGTATTAGCTAAACTTTTTCTGGCTCTGTCTATCGCAGTTTAAACCTAGGTTTAGCCTTGAATACTTTGAAAATCCACATGTAATGAAAATCGTGCAGAAATGGACAATTAATTGTGAGAGTTTATCGCGATAAAGTCGCTTAAAGTGAGGATCTTTTTAGAAAATCGTTATTCCTCCGCGATTTTCCCCAGTCAATAACGACTAATCGATTTGAACCTTATCCTAACTTTTTCCTCTTTTCTTTTTTTCTATTCTACATACCTATGTGATAAATATCGTCGATGAATCGCGATTCCACGCTCGATATATCGACGGCACTATCGATATTTTTCCTCGAGGTGGTAGTTCGAATCTCACAAACCTTGTTTCATTTTTTGTAGTTCAAATGGTAATCTGGACATTTTTTGTTACTGTTATTGCTCAAAGCGGAAATATGAAGGTAAAAAACAAACGAAGTAGAACTGTTCAGTTTAACTTTTTTTTGCGTACTGACTGAGTTAACTTAAGTTTTTAGCCAGCTTAGAAAATACTATGGGCGGGCCTCCAAAAACAAATGATCTAAAGCAGAAAATGGTAATCTAAAAACCATTTTTGGTTCATCACCTTCTGGAGTGTAAATTGGCAGTTGGGGATTCATTCCACATTTCAATCGCATAAAAAGTATTTCAGCTTGTCGTGATGGAAAAATGAGGCTTTTTTTAAAAGGGAATTCGTTTCGCAAATCCAAAGCATTCTGTTTCATTTTTTTACATAATGGTTTCGTCTTTAATAAGTATAATGTTGGATGTAATTGGTTCCATTTCTTAGAAAGTAGAGTAAAAAGAGAGCTATGGCGCGTATTTACAGGCTGAATTATGGTTTGCGTGTAACTTCTTAAATTACGTACAACATTAGTTTTTTGTTGCTGCATTTGAGATCACAGATATTCTGGGGCAAGGCCATGTACAATTTTAGAGTAGAAAACGATCTGAATGATATGAAAGTGTTCTTTAATGGATAGCTAACCTAATATAATCCTAAGTTTCTCTTCCGAGCTACCTTTCATCGCACCCAAACCACTAGAGAAGCATGGTACTGTATCGCCTTCAATTTATCTAGATTCTGCTGAGTAGTAAAAGAGAATAAAATAGATCCATAGTTAAAAAGCGAAAACACAAAAGCCTTATAAATAAGGTCTAGAACTGCCTTATTCAAAAGTCTAGAGTGCCATCTCACCAGCCCAACAAGAGATTCCCCTCTGGAGGCAATATTATCTATATGTCTGTCCCATTTCACGTCATATGAAAGATAAAGCTCCAAATATTTAAGGAAATCTTTTTCGAATAAAACTATCCCCAGGACTGATAAACAGGAAGGGTAAAAGCGATACTCCGA